GGAATTGTGTCTTAGCAGAACACTTGCCTAGCATGTGCGAGGCCCTGGGTTCGATGATCTTCAGCACCAAATAAAAATAAATAAAGATGTTGTGTCCAACTATAACTAAAAAATAAAAATAAAAAAAATGTTGTTGCCTGGGCACCTCTGACTCAATAAGCCTCACTTCAAATGCTGCTCCCCTTGATTCTGACCCTCTTGTGGTCCCTTAAGAAATGGCCTCCCAAACATCTTATTCCAGCTGAAAGACTACTTCTGTCTTGGAGAGGCCACTGTATCTGGGCCCTTCACTCATGCTGCCATTTCCTTGTATTATCCTGATCACACATTCCTGGGGCTCAGGTACTGTCCTAAGCTTCCTATATAAGGGGCCAGTGTTGGGTCTCCTGGTATTGGGCAGGGGGCAGTGACACCATTTTGGGATGGACACTTGTCTCGGAGGGCACAGTGCCTGAAATGTGGGGTCCTCAGTTACTATGGCCACCTCCTTATCTTCTCTCACTGCCAGGTCCACCATATAGTGGCTTTCTTCATCCAGCATTGCCAACAACCTCATTACTAATTCCGGAGGAGTCTCCATTCTATCCTTGCTTCACATCTTGGCAGCACTAGATGGCCTCCCCTAAGCCCACTCCAGCTGTCTCTGTCTTCCTGTGTTGGAGGTATACTCCTCTGCCTCCTCTCTAGTTGAAATTTCTCAGCTGGGTGCAAAGGCGCATGTTTACATAGGCTTGAAGATCAGACCAGGCCTGGGTTCAAGTGGCTCCTCCACTTCCCAGTATTTGGTAGTCAGGTTAAGTTGAAACGAGCTATGAACTCTGCATAGTAAAGGCTTAGAACAATTCAGTGATTGACCTTCAAAGGGTATCTTCTTCGTTTCTCGGGTCCTGTCTTCTATCAGCAAAACTCTCAGCACATACCCTGAGGTACCCCTTACTCCTTAGTCCCCATGTCCAACCCCATCTCCCCTGAGTTCCTGACCTCTATATGTCTGACCACCCAGCAGATGGTGCCCGCAGTCTTTCAAGGCAACAACACAACATTGAGCCTTTCCCAGACCTGTGCTCTTACCCAGACTCCCCAGTTTTGTAACTGTCCCACAGCCTCTCACAGGCTTGAGTGTGATGCCTAAGGGACCCTCCATTTAGAACCCTCAGTGCACAGGTAGCCACTTGGCAAAACCCCCAACTATACCATCCATATATATCAGGAACATTTCCTTCTCATCTCTGGCTGAAGGGAACCACCAACCACCATGCTCCAGCCTCTGGCACCCAGAGCTGAGAAGCACTGGCATAAGGAACTCAATAACCATGTCAAGGTTTGTCTCTTTGCCTATAAAATGGGGACAATGAATCCTTGTCTAAAGTTTAAATATCTTTGAAAACATTCAGTATAGGGCACAGCAAGTTGCAAATCTCAGAAAATACTCTTGCTGTCTGAACCTCCCTCTAGCCCTCCTTCACTCCCACCAAGTAGTCCTGATCTTTCTGATACACACATCCCCTGTAGTAGACAGTTGTTGTTTGCAGCTACCAATCAGGAAACCTGTTTAGCTCTCCTCCAGGAAGCCCATGTATACAGAGACGAGACCACATACACAGCTCCAGGGAGCTGGCCACCACCCTCCATCCTGACCAGAATAATTGGATGCAAGACGCAGTCCTGACCAATAACAATAGCATTTATTTGTTGGGGACATCTGAGACAGAAGCTAATCTACAGAGAGAAGGTGCTCCTCACCAGCAGTGAACAAAGAGTTCCACCGAAGTTGCAGGCAGCCACCTTTTGATCCCCAGAGGTGCTGGCCTGGGATAAAGCAGATAGTGGAGGATGCACAGGGAGGCAGAGAGAAAGTAAATATCTGGTCAACTTCTTCCTCCACTGCCAGGACCCTGGACTTTTCAGTTTCCTAAGCCATTAAGTTTCCTTTATTGTTAAAACACTTATTGGAAACCAAAACCAGCCTAGCTAATAGAGTTCCTTTTGGATAAAAGTCTCACATGCACCTTTAGTGTGAATTTTCAAAATACATTCCCTGACTCAAAATAAATGAGAGTATTGTAAGTTTATCATGTAAGCCGGCAGACCACAGATGTTCCTAAGCAGATACCTGCTATGTGATGTCTCCAGCTCTCAGGAAGGGCCAGAGGCCACTGTCTGTTCTTTGATCTCAGGCCTCTGTTCATCTTTCCAGTATGGGGATCCAGTGTTCACCCCATAAGGACCAGGCAGCAGGGCCTATGGCAGGGAAGGCAGGTCCAGCCTTGACCACATGGAGAAGGTGAAAGTGGAAGAACCGAATACATACGGCTGCCTTCTGATCTCTACCACCCCTGGGGGCCTCCTCCAAGGAGAAGGTAGGTACTTACATGACCTCTAGCACCATGCACAGTGCAGGATGAAAGAGGAACCACTGCTACTGAGTCCATACTTCTGGCTCTCTCCAGCACCCTGAGGTTTCTTCTCAGGCAATGAGGTGTGTGCAAAGTGTAAGCCCCTGTATACAGGTAGCATGGGAAGCATCGTCTTCATACTGTGGGCAAGCACTAGGTGCAGAGACCGAGATGGAGTCCGAGCTGTGACACTGTCTTGCTAAGTGACCTGTCTGCCCTATGGGCGAGAACTACTCATCTCCAGGAGGAGACAAGCAGATAGGGTGCCCCAGAGAAGAGCTGTGTCACCAAGGGCATGCCATCTCTGGCCCATGCTTGGCTATAGCTTCACTTTTGGCTTCGGTTTGTTTATTGAATAGAAGGTGGAAGAGCATTGTAAGGACTCTCCACCCTGGGCTGGGGTAAGGAGGAAGGAAATTGGTTCAGGTCTGCACAGACTCAATGGTCAGGGACCAAAGTAGCACAGAAACTCGTTTCAAGTCATGCCACAGAGGTGGGGTGACTTTCTGACTCCCAGGTTCCTGCTTTTCCTTTATCAAGAGCACACTGGCTGCAGCAGCTGAGGAGGCCCAGGGCTGGTTGTCACTTGCCCTCCTGTGGATATTTGTTTAGGGCTGTGCCACACTCCACAGAGGTCAGGTGACAAGACTGGGCAGCAGGGGCCAACTGCTTACCCTTTCAGGCTTGGGGGCACATCACTCAAGGGCTTATTCTCAGTGGGCTAAATGTGAAATGCTAAAGCCCATTCCTCCTCCTCACACTGAGGCACTTCTACAAGCTGGCTGGACTCAGATTTGGGCTCTCCCATGTCATTGCTAGGTGCCTCCACCGTGCTGTCTCAGTTCTATTGCAGGGGTGGTAGAGAACCCTGGTCAAGTGCTTTGAGTAGTGCCTAGCACCTAGCAAGAGCCTGGTACATACCAGCCGCTATTATTATTGTTATTATGAGCCAAACTGCAACAGGAGAATACATTTAATGCAACATGCAGCTGTGGCCTAGCCTCGGGCTCCTTCCCATAATCCAAGAATGCTACTTGGAGAAACCCTTCTCCATAGCCTCAGTCACTTCAGGGTGCAGGAAGCGGCTGGCCAAGCGTTCGATGTCATCCAGTGTCAGGCGGCTCAGGGACCTGTCATAATCCTGAGGAGAGAAGGCCAAGAGGATTCAGGCAGTGCCAGTGGGGAGGAATATGCTGTGACAGTCAGGGGCTGGGACTAGCTGGGACTAGCTGGGACTAGATGTCCCTTCTCACCCTCTGCAGTTGTTCTAATACCCTGCTAGCATCTGCTACACTGAAGTGGCGGGCCAGGACTTTGGAGATCAGCTGCCAGACAGGAGGAGATGCGGAGTCGGCCAGTCTCCGGGCGGCGCCTTCTTCAAGTAACACCTTCTCCAGAGGTTTAACCACTAGGTTGAGCTTGGAATTGGGCCCAATGCTGTAATCTGACAGTCGTTTCCCATCTGCCAAAAAGAGATTGGTGGGGTTCCTTACCCACAGCCATAGAAGTGGCCCCGGAAATGATACCGCCTCAAGCAGTCAGAGCGGAGCGCTGCGGCATCTGGCTGTGGTGCATACAGATTCCCTCGGCGCGAGAGCCAGCGCCCAGATCCACCACGCTGCCGGAGTTAGCCTGTACACCCCATCCCCCGACTTCCTGCGGGGCTCCCTGGGTGTATCCACTCCCTGTTACCTGCTAGGGCCTTGCCCTTGAACAGCAGTCGCTGCTGGCGCACGGGGACGTTCAGCTTTTCGGAGACCAGTTGCTTCAGTGTGGACACCAGCTCGTCCTCCGGCACCTGACCGGGCCGAGGGTGGGAGGCAGGGGTTGAGCCCGCGACCCCTGAGCGACAAAAGCCTCGCGTCCCCTCCAGAGGGCAATTCTCCCGGCCTCCCTGGTCCGGCCGCCCCGTTCCCGTCCTCGGGCCCTGCCCGTCCCTGTGCCAGGAGGCTGTGACTGCGCAAGCCGGGGAAGGTGGTTCGGGCCTGGTGACCCTACCTGTAGGCTGCACTCACGGCCCTGGAGCGCCTTCACCGTCAGCTGCATGGCGGCCGCGGAGGCGTCCACTAGGGCCAGGGCGCACCCCAACGGCCCCCAGTCGCGCGCTGCCGCCCCGGGCGCGCGCCGGAACCACCCGCCGCCGCCGGAAGCCGTGAGAGGGGCACGCCCGTGCGCCTTACCCACGCCCCTAGGTCCCGCCCCCGCCCCGCCCCTCGAAGAGGAGTTAGCTGCTGTGGGGCGCAGACTCGCAAAGACCCTGGGACCTCCCAGGCTGACGGGTCCTTTCGCTGCAACTGTGCAGGGAGTTGGCGCGTCCACCCGGCCAGGACTGGGAGGAGGTACGAGCTGGGGCTTGGGAGAAGAAATGACCAGGAAATCCAGTCGCCTGTACCGGTGACCCAGTCCCCTCTAAATTCCCAGTCTGCTAGTGGGGCAGGTCAGTACAATCCCAGATTGCGTCTCTCAGTAACACAACAGGCCCAGTCCTGCCAAGCTGACCATAGTGCCTTATGTTCTTCTGCCTCCTTTCTAGTTTGGCTGCAGAAACCCGACTGAGCTTGAGAGCACCTAGGGAAGCCATGCCTCTGCTTCCATCTGCCCACCCTTCATCCAGAACCAAGAGGCCACCTCACTCAGTGAGGGGCTAAATGGCAAGAACTGATAGAGAAAGCCAGGGCAGAGGTCACCGTGCCACTCAAGCTCACCCTTACCCTGGCCCACACTTATCCACACACACTTTTCCTTCCCCCACCTCCAGGTCCTAAGGGGCAAAAACTGGAAGGGACCCGAGCTTGCTTCTCTCTTTTATTGAAATATATTTTCTGGGCACTGCCCACCTACCTAATTCAGCATGGCCTCTTTGGCACTGAAAGCTGGAGAATAAAAAACCAGTAAAAAAAAATAAGCTTGGATTTGTCTGAGTGCATAGTGCATGAGAACTAAAGGCCTTTGGTACACAAGAACTGTGGGGACAGGGGATGGAGTGTGGTGGTTGGGCGATAAAAGCTTGACCCAGGTGCCTCATGGAACTGGGAACAGGTTGCTATAGATAAAGTGGCCAATGACCAAGGCCAACATCTCTGAGGTACCACTCAGGGCCACAATGAAGGGGGCCTGGGAGGCATAGTCTGCTTGAAGGCGGCGAAGGGACAGCTGTAGCATGGCCAAAGCCAGTAGGCTGTTTTGCACCCCTACCTCAATGCTGACCGTCCGCCGCTGGGCCACTGGCAGCTTTAGGCATGTGGCCAGGCAGTAGCCCACCAAGAGGCCAACCAGGGGCACAGTGAGGCCCACCAGTACAATGGGTAGCCTGACTCCTGCCAGGATGAATACCCCCATGCGGTAAGCCAGGAAGAGGCCACCCAGGATGAGCACAAAGCTGAAGGGCTTGATGACCTGAAGCAGCAGCTGAGAGAACTTGGGGAGCTTGGACTTGATCACCACTCCTGCTGCAATAGGGATGGCAATGAATAGCAGGGTCCCCAGGATCTTGGAGATGGGCACATGGAGAGTTTCATGGATGCTGAGAAGATAGCTGTAGAGGGCTGAGGACAGTGGCAGGAAACCAGTGGCAGCTACAGTTGAGATGAAAGTCATGGAGATGGCCAGGGTGACGTCCCCTCCAAGAAGGAGGCTAAAGAGGTAGCTCCCCCCACCTCCAGGTGATGAGCAGGTAATGATGAGGCCCAAAGCCAGGGCCTTGGGCAGCATGAAGACTTTGGCCATCAGGAAAGCATACAAGGGCATGACCAGAAACTGGCCCAAGAGGCCCAGAAGCATGGGCTGGGGGCTCTGCAGGAGCCCCTTCAGAACCTCAAGTTCTACTTTACAACCAAATGAACACTTGTTGACAAAGATAAGAGGCAAGAGCATGTAGAGTATTGGGTTCTCCGAGAAGTGGACCAGGCTGGTGCTGAGGGTAGCAGGGGTATCTTCAGTAGGTGACACCTTGATGCAGAAATCTCTCCGCTCCTCAATCAGCATGGGTGAGGCCTCATGAGGTTCCACGAGCTGGATATGGAGTGGAGCCAGTCCAGCCAGACCTGAGTGGATGCTTACAACAAAGCCACCCCCACCACCCCAGGTTATGGCACTCACATTCTTGATGGTCAGCACCTCTGTGTCCAGGGATGTGACCTTCAGTGTGGGGCCAGGCCCTGTTCCATTTGCCTGGCCTGGGTATTGGCTTGAGATCACAATGATGCCCTCACTCTCCTCAGGAAACTCAAACTCCATCACAGAGCCATCTCCAATGCTCAAGTAACGACCCTCTGTCAATGGCACAGTGTGGCCCAGAGCAGTGCTGAGGTTGGCACTGGCCATCCCTTGGGCCCCCCATGGTAAGCTGATGAGCAGCAGGGCAGCTCTGAGCATACCTAGGTGGCCTGTGCAACCACACTCCCCTCTCAGGCCAGGCCACTGCTGAGAGCTGCCCCTACCCCTCCTGAACATCATGGCTCTTCCAGAAGGTGTGCCCAGGTCTTCTGCAGCTTAGGAAAGCACCACGGCTGTTGGGTTGTCCTGAAAAAGGTCCATCAGTAGGTCCTGGTCTTGTGCTGCTTTCCTGATGGCAGGGCTCTCTCTGAGAAGGGAAGGGATACAGAGAGGTGGCTGGTGAAGGTGAGCAGATATAAGCCCAGGAGTATGGGTTTCTGGAAGTCCACTGCTGGAAGACTCAGCAGGACCCCTAATCCCAAGCTCAGGAATAGAAAGGCAATGCCTACTGCTTGTTGTTGAGTGCTATTTGGCTTTCCCCTCCTCCAGCACAGCTGCCTCAAGCTTCCCATTCCTCATACAGAGGTGCCACCTAGAGAGAGGAGTTCCCATTCACCTGCTGATACCTGCTGATTTCCTTGGGGTTGTCCACCTCAGCGACCTTGCAGAGATGTCCTGATACCAAGAGATTCAGGACAGCCACTTCCAGTCCTGTCACCATTAGCCTGCTCAACACTGGTTTCAAGATGCAGATATAAGCTGGGTGTAGTGGCACACACCTGTAATCCCAGTGGCTCAGGAAGCTGAGGCAAGAGGATCCCAAGTTCAAAGCCAGCCTCAGCAACTTAATGAGACCCTATCTCAAAAAAAAAAAAAAAAAGCTGGAGATGTGGCTCACTGGTTAAGTGCCTCTGGGTTCAATCTCTGATACAAAAAAACATTCCAGATAAAGCAAGGCTTTTGTGATACCACAGTGAGGATGAAATCTTTGAAAACCACCTGGGGGGGGGAGGTGAAAAGGAGACAAGATGGATGAGAACAAAGGGGAATGATGGGAAACACTGTCTTGGTACAGATCTGGGAGAGTAGGTTGGGGAATATGAGTGTCATTTGCCAGGTACAAAGTGGTGGTAAAGTGATGTGGGCAGTGGGTGACCACTGTACCAAAGGTCTGAGGGGCTGATATCTGCCACTGGCATGCAGTTAGAAAACTGTTGCTGTTGCTACCTGGTTTGCTGTACCTGCCCTATAGTAATGAGAGAGGGATCTTGGTAGGAAGCAGTTTCCCTGATCCCAGGGAAGTTGCCAGAAGGGGTAGCAGGAATGGGTCACATAGAAGCACATGTCCACTGGGAGGGACCTCTCCTTCTGTAAGAGCTCCCACTTCTCTGACAGTCCCAGAATTCGAGCTTCTAAAACTGCTGAATTACATATGATCTGCTGTGCTCAGAGTACTGGGCCTCCCCCAAAACTCCACCAGAGCCTGAAATTCCTAGTGGGGCTTAAGTGTTTCCAGAGGGTGGGGTACCTCAGAGTGAAAGGAGGAGGTCTGCCTCCCTCCTCTTTTTAATTTGGGCAGTCACCCCAGTAGTATCACATCATCTGCTAGAACTGGGGCAACCAGGATGGGCACACGGTGTTTATAATTCACAGCAGTCCATTTCTTTGTCCCTGTAGTGTCTCAGAGTCCACCACCTCTCTGGATCCTAGTTAGTCTTTGGCTCTGCCCCCACTCCCATCTGAAACTGAGGAGAGGGTAAGGTGGGAGTGGAGGGAGGTTCAGCAAAAGGTTTTTCCCTGGGAAAGTCTCCCCTCCCCCGCCACAGGATGACATGGCCCTTGCTGGCTTGGAGTTTAGGTCACTTACCCTGGAGGCCTTGGTCCAACCTTGTGTTTCACTGCTGGGGGTGCCAGGCAGGAAAACCAGAAAAGGGTAGGAGAAGTCAAGTGGAGGGAAAAATATGCAGGCACCAGGGTAATATAAACCATTTCAAAGCAATAGGCTAAGGGCCATTCACCTCCCATCCCATCCCTTCAGCAGGGCTGGCCGCCTTGAGTCACTGCAAGAGGAGTTTGGCCCCAATCCACAGGGTTTCTGCTTGAGGGGCTGGAAGAGTTTGAACAGACGCACCCCAAGGCAGGGAAGGCAATGCCAGCCCGGATGCTTCTTCCACAGCGGTGGAGTGTTTGGGGGTGAGGGTAATTGGCAGTGCTGACCTGGTCTCCTCCCCACCTGTGAGTCTAGAAGTTGTCAGGTGAAGCACCAGCAGAGCTCGAGTGAAAACCGGGGGTGGAAGCGGGCAGAAAGAAGGACGTACAACCCGCTGGGCACTCTCAGGTCAGGGGCCTTCACGTCACTCCTGGGCCCCGCCAGGCCTCCCCAATGTGCGGTGGCCTTTCCCTGCTGGGTCTGGTCGGGCCGGGGTGGCGCGTGGCCGATCGCGGAGCGCTGACAGGCCAGAGTCTGCCTCCCGCCTATCTTTACCCAGCCAAAAGCTCTCACCTGCCGCCGTAGCTGCAAAGCTCAACACCAGCGCCTGCCGGGGCGGCGGACGCCCGCGAGCTCGGCCCGCCAGGGCCCCGCCCCGCCCACCAAGGGCTCCGCCCCACCCCGCCCCACCAAGGCTCCGCCTGCGTCAGATCTCCGCCCTCCCTCAGCAGTCCGCTCACCTCTGGCGACCATAACAGGTTCCAACCGGATGTGACGTTTCTGAGAGCGACGAGCTGTCAAGGGAGCAGTGGACTGACTGCTTCCTGAGTTACACGTGATTGTAACCGGGCACAGTGAATTACAGCTTTCTGTGGTCATTGACGCCGGTGTGACTCATTTTAGTACTACTAAGGTCCGGTGGCTTTACAGAAAAGGAATAAAAAGAGATGGGCATGGTGGCGCACGCCTCTGATCCTGGTGGCTCGGGAGGCTGAGGCAGGAGGATCATGAGTTCAAAGCCAGCCTCAGTATCTTAACAAGGCCTTGTCCCTCAGTAAAATGTAAAAAGGGCTAGGGATGTGGTTCAGTGGTTAAGCACCCTGGGTTCAATCTCCAGTGTTAGATAAAAAAAATGGAGCGGGAGGTTGTATGTTTACAAACTTTGCTGGGACAACAAAAACTCAGTCTGCATTGTTCTAAAATTAACCTCTTTGGGCTGGGTGTGCATCACAGTGGTAGAGCGTTTGCCTAGTATGTATGAGGTCCTGGATTCCATCTCCAGTACCTCAGAAATAAATAAGTAAAAAAATAATAAAACGAACTTTTGTCATGGCTGTGATGGAGGCAGTGGTGCCTAAAGTACTTGCTCCTTGGAGGTGCAAAGTGTTGTAGTACCTTTTTTCCAAATAAACATGATTTTAAATTCATTTGTGTGGAAATTTATTTTAAAATGTATTTGGGGTTAGAAATGTAGCTCAGTGGTAGAACACTTGCTTAGCCTGTCAGGCTCAGTTTGGATTCCCAGCACTGTAAAAAAGAATGTTGTATAGTTTAATATGTGTATATGACATATAAGCAAATGTTCAAATGTTGGGCATGCATGCTTAAAGGGCTTTGATATATAAGCCATTAAAAACATTTGCAGCTGTAACTCCAGGCTGTTCTTTAGCCATAGAGAACCAATAAGTACACCACTTCTGTGCATGTACTTGGCATCCTGGAACATTCATACTATCCTTCTCAAATGGTACTGTGGCGGCAGTGAGGGGGAGATTCCTGACAGAAACAGGTGGTACTTGGAGCTAGGATACGTGAGATGGCTAGGCTGGATCAAGGATATCTAGTTCCAAAAGAGAAGTCATCTGGACTGAGGGACCGCTACAACAAATGATAGCAACAACCAGAACAAAATGAATGTACTTAAGATGGGAGACACACCACTGTATTGTATTAAAGGGCCACAGTGCTGACTCTGAGAGGCAAGCTTAGCTCCTACTCTCCAGGTAGGGGCCTCCAGAAATATTTTGTGATAAGTAAGCATGCATGGAGGGCATATACAAGCATATATAAAAGTATATGACACAGGGATGTATGGTGACAGCTATTGTTTTTGCCTATCTAGCATAAAGTCATAGAACATATGTTTTCTCTGAAAGAACCATCCATTCTCCGCTTTCAGTTCAGTACACATGGTTTCAATGTGATAATCCCAACACTGGCTCCTGGGGCAGGCACATGCCCAGATGTAGCCAATTAAAACCACTCATTTTTGTGGCAGAATAAGCCCATAATCCAATCTAGACTAAGGAGTTAGTCCCTAGGTACTTGTACTGAAACTACTGGGAAGGTGGGAGGTCTTGTTTGCTAGTGTTACTACACTGGCACCTTTACTACTTCCCTCCTTCCCACTACCTGGGAAAACAGTATATTGGAAAAATGAAGCAAACACAGAAAAGCAGAGCCAAGGAATGGAAAGAACCCATGTCCTAGTGACATTATTGGAGCTAGAAGCACCCAGGGGTTTTGGGGCCCATTAAAGGAACAATAAATACCATCCTTCTTTTTTTTTTCATACATCAGTTTTAGTTTGGATTCTGGCATTTGTAACTGAATATGTCTGAACTGCTAAAGGGTTGACCTTGTGTAGGAGGAGCATGATATCCTGGCAAAAGACTGCAGGAAACTCATCCAGACTCTGCTCCCCACCATCAGCTTCCTGGCCCATGTTGGGCCAACTGGGGAATAAAGTGGGCCTGCTGTTTACATCTGTTACATGGGCAACACCCCAGTGGGGCACAGCCTCAAGGAAGAAGGAACCATCACTCTGGCTCTCTCATGTGTTCCTACTCTGCAGCACAGTGGTTGGTCCTACACAGGCACTTTGTAAATGTTTGGTGAACAAATGGACAAATGGAGGAAAATTGGACAATCACAGCACATTGGGAGGCATAGTGAGGTCTGTACACTTCCCAGCCTTACACTGAGTACCCTCAGTGAGGTTCCATTTCATCTTGGGCAAGCTACTAACCTGTGGAATTGTATACACCTAGCTTCTAACCTCTAGGCTCCATTGTAACTCTTTAAGCTCACAGGGTCCTTTACTTTTTTCTGTACAGTGAGGATAATGGCCAAATTTTGTAGGGTTTGCTTCAACATATAGGGAGTACAGATGTGCAGATAAGACATTAGCCATGTATTGATCACTATAGAAGCCTGGTAAAGGGTACATTGGAGTTGATCATATTATTCTCTCTACTTTTGGAGATGTTTGAAATTTTCCATAGTAAGATATTTAAGAAATGAGCCAGGCATGGTGGACATGGCTGTAATCCCAGTGACTTGGGAGGCTGAGGCAATATGATTGCAAGTTGTTAGAGGCCAGCCACAGTGATTTAGCAAGACTCTGTCTCAGAGTAAAAGATAAAAGGGCTAGGATGTAGCTCAGTAGTAAAGCACCCTGAGTTCAATCCCCAGACTGCAATTTTTCTTTCTAGAAATAAATACACCTTTGATACTATAGTGGTGGGTACATGTCATTACACAATTTTGTCAAAACTCAGAATGTACAATGCCAAGAGTGGACCCTAATGTAAACCAATGTAGATTCATTGATTTTAACAAATGGAGGATGAAGGGAGACACTATATTTTTTGCTTAGTTTTGCTGTGAACATAAAATAGCTCTAAAATGTTTCCTAGAAAAAGGGAATACACTATTATGAGCTTGGCACAGGCTCAGGGCTGGGCATTGGCTGCTACGAACATCATCTACATGCAGGCTGAGCTGTCCTCATTTCTCTGGTTTGATCTTTGCAGTTCTGGCATAAAAACTACTTTCTTGCTGGTGGGCCTTTTTTCCTGGGCACTAACTTGATATCTATCTGCCCTTGACTTTCATTCTGAAGGTTTGCTTTGCACTCAGTACTTTCCCTGGGTCTGGAAGCACTTAATACCTAGGAGTTGAAGGCTCAGAAAGCCTGTCTGTACAGCAGGATCCTAAGTCCATCACCCCCCTAACACAGATACTTCAAGAATGCCTGACTGTCTTCTAAAATTACCACAATGCCCTGATTCCTCCCATCTGGGAAGTCCAAGCCACCCTTTCTTGTTTTTTGGAACTCAGAGTGCTTCTATACCCCTTATTTGGTATGTCAGCACCTTGACTGGTTTTAGTTATTTTACTTGTCCCTACAGGTGCGTTGTGAGTGGGAGGAAGTTGGTGAGTTTCCTTGGGTCCCAGAAGACAGAACCATGTCTCCAGTTAAGGCTATGGGTGACACCAACTGGGGAACTACTCTGCTTACCCCTTGAATCACATCTTAGCCACTGTGGGGGGGGGCAGTCAATGGCAGGGGCCCTATAGAGAAAGGCTGTCTGCTAAGGCTGTGGGGACAGGTTGGCTGAGTCTCTAGGACTTATCCCCTCCATGCACATAACACCACCCCTGACTCTCCACTGAGGACAACATCTGAATGCATTTCATTCCATTGTGGGCCATCAATTTATTAAGAGGTCATCTAGAAGGTGGGCCCTCTGACAAACCGCGTACTGCCATGTACTGCATTAGGGGCTGTGACCAGGCTCTGTCTACCTCACTACCCAAGGCCAGTCTGCTCTAAGGGCCCCTCTCCTGCTGAGACTGAGGTTAGAGGCAGGCAGACATGTGAAAGCGCTTACTAGGTTTGGCTCACTGAAAGCATTCACACTGTAAGCAAGTTTGGACCACAATATAGTGAGTGGGTCTGGAAGGGAGAGGTTCTGGAAGATGCCCCAACCTGCCAAGTAGCTACTACAGTGAGAAGAATGGGCACTTAGAGCCTTTGCAGCCAGGGGCACTTGGGAATTGGGAAGGAGATGACATGAGTGGAAGAAAGGGCTAAGTGGGGGCTGACTGGGACCAGCTTTAGGAAAAGGAGATGGGTACCTGGGCTCCTATGACAAAGTATGATGGGCCAGCTCCACAGTCCCCATCATCTTGGGGTCACTGCCTCAGAGCCCTGATGTGTTGGGGCTGGGGAGCCTCCTGCCTGGGCATGGGGCAAGACCTCGACTCTGTGTTGGCACCATGCAGACTCCCTCGGCCTGGTCCTGGTGATTGGCTGTGCTAGCTGGCCACACTTCTCCGCGGGATGCAGCCTTCCATCTCCAGTGCCTCAGGCCAGCCCTCATACTTGTTGGTGTGCTTACTGTTCTTCACATGCTGTGAGATGGAGGGAGCAAGAAGTCATGGTCTGGCCCTTAGGGACAGGGGACAGAAGTGGGCCAGGACTCTGGCCTTTGTGTTGTAGACCACCTGTGTGCTCTCCAGGCACTGGTTCCCTCCCTCTGCCCCAGGAAAAAATGACAACAGCTGTAATGACCTATTCCCTTGCAGGCAGGCAGCTTGGGGGTGAATTTCTGTGTACTTTTATGGGCTTGGAGGGGAGATAATACGTGTGTACCCCACCATAAGGAGTTATCAGAAGCTGTACTGAGAACAAGGCCATGGGGACATTTTATTCCCATGGGGAAGGGGGCAGCTTGAGCTATCTTTTTGTTAGCCAGAGCCTTCTAGAAATTTGTGTCATAAAGATCAGACCTTGGGGCTGGGGCTATAGCTCAGTGGTAGAGCACTTGCCTATCATGTGTGACAGTGCACTGAGTTTGATCCTCAGCACCACATAAAAATAAATAAATAAAACAAAGGTGTTCTGTTCATCTACAACTAAAAAAAATATTTTAAAAAGAGCAGATCTGGGGATGCTGTGGCTTTTGCTGGACTGGGAACCTCCCACAGATGAGGATGGTGACTGGGGCTCCTTCTCACCCAGCCCCAGCACAGGGCCTGACATGTGAACTCAAGAGGGCAGCAAGGGTGTATGGTGTGGATTGGGGATACTGGGTTTTGAGAGAACTAAGACAGTACTGAGCATCATGAAGGTGTTGGGAGGATGGTTTCTTAGCTATGAGTCTTGCCACTGTGCAAACTTTGCCATTTAAAGACCTTTTAGGGTGCAATGCACATAGGATAGGGAAGGTCAAAGTTACTGCTCCTCCTTGTGCAGAAGGCACATGGGCCAGGGCCACCCAGGGACAGATGGGGGACAGGGCTATTGTCTGTTTGCTTAGGGCCTAGCTGGAAAAAATTCAGGGTAGGCTGTGGTGTGAAGAGATGGGGTGACCAGGCTTCCAGGGCTAGGAGGCAGAGGTGCTGAGTTCTCTGCTGTACCTGCTCAAAAGGGCTCTTGTTCTGCACACCCTTGGCCCCCACAAACACCCAGCTGTCGCGGAAAGCTAGCTCCTTGGCATTCCTGCTGCCCAGCTCACTGAAAAGCTTCCTGGTCTCTTCATTCATCCTAGCACACAGAAGAAGAAATGTGAGTTGTGAGCTGTCACTGTAGAGAGACAAGACTGAGACTGACCATGACACTCACTTACTTGGTGGCTGGGTCGTCGTAGGATGCCACAAACACCAAGGTACCTTCATGTAGTGGCCGAATGAACTTCAACAGATCATTGACATCTGGAGGGTGGCAGAAGGCAGAACCCACTGAGCACCCCTTCTCCCACCAATCCTTGTTCTCTAACTGATAAAACCCAAGTAGGGATTGGCCCCTGGATGTGCCAATGTACAAATGTACAGGGACAAATTGGTAAGGAAGCTGGGAACATCCTATTACAAAAAACATAGCCTCTGGACAGAGGTAATGATCTTTCCCCTTCTGCTGCCTTTTGGGAACCCAGGCAAGTGCTTGAAAAGCCCAAGCACATGGACACAGGGGAAACTCACCCAGTCATTTTTTGTCAGTGAAGAAGTAGGAATCTTTGACAGCCACTCACCTCCAGCCCACATGTCGAAGGCACGGGCCTCAATGAGCTCACCGCTGACCCCTGCATTGAGAGGAGGAAGGGAGTCTTCCTGGGTGAGCTGCCCGCGTCACTCCACTCTACCACCTTGGCCCTCAAAACACACTCAGAACACATTGTATGGGATTAGCCTTTCTGCAAGTTTCTCAAACATTCTCCTATTTATCCCCTTGTTGATAGATGTAGCTCACTCAGAATTGTAGAGCCTCTGCCTGGCATCTGAGGCCCTCCAGGGGCTCCCATGAAGTTCCCTTCAAATCCCTGGACCCTTCTAGTTCTTCAATACTATCATGCTTTGGTTCATTGAGTCACACAGACCCCTTCCCAGACCTCCCTGAGAGTTCCTAGAGGGAAGGGTCAGGAAAAACACCCAGAAGCCGCCTAGGGAGGAAATGCACAGAGTGCAGGTCATGGCATGGCTTCTACCTCTTTGGTCTCAACTCTGACCCCAGAGCATGGGGAACTCACCATTCACCAGGGCAATGTTCAGCCCACGGCCCACGTTGTCCTTGACACTGCTCATGAGCCTAAAGGGATGGAAGACTTCCAGTGGGCACATCTGCTCCATTCTTCCTTGCACAGCCCTCAGCCCTTGTGGAACCAGTCTCAATTCCACCAGCCCACTTCCCAAACCCCATGTATCCCAAGGAGCTCACATCTTGTCCTCGAGGCAGATCTTGGGTCCGATGACGTTGGCAGCCCCACTGACCATGCGGAAGGCTAGGTGCTCCTCAGGACATGGCTGGGGCAGGCCACACTTGTACTTCCTGGCCCGTGGTTCTGAGCAGGGACAGCAGGTATGACCCATGGGCCTGGCCCTGGTGTCATCTAAGATCTGAGTGGGGAGGTCAGGACCAGCCATAGGGTCAAATAAGTGACCATATAGCAGGGAACTCAGTGGGGGTCATGGCTCAGGCTAAGGCCAGGGACACTTCATGGAAACTCTGTGTTCTGCTGGCAAGGTGACAGGGACTCAAGGAGGCTTTTCTGTGCTACTGGTGGGAGAAAAGAAAGGAGGTCAAGAGCCCTTACACAGCCAGGAACAAAGCATGGGTGGAGAAAGTTAGGTTGGGGACCCAAATACATACACAGGGTACACAGCTAGACCAAAGTGGTAGAACTACAGCAGGTGAGGAAAGCATAGGGATCTGCTAGTCTGATTTCCATAGGGTGAGGATGAGTGGACAGCCTGTTATGGGTTGAGCTGTGTTCCCACACAAGACAAGTTGAAGCCCTGACTCCAAGTACCTCAGAATGTGGCCTTGTTTGGAAATAAGGTCTTTATAGATAAATTAGTTAAGATGAGATCATACTGGAGTAGGTTGAGTCCTGAATGCAACATGACTGGTGTCCTTATAAGGATAACAGACAAAGGCACAGTGAAGGAGGCAGCTGTATGAAAATGGAGGCAGAGATTAGAGTGACATAGCCACAAGCTTTGTTGATAACTTGATTTCAGAGTTTTGGCTTCCAGAACTGTAAGAAAATATATTTCTGTTTTTTAAGCCACCAACTTTGTGATACTTTGTTATGGCAGCCCCAGGGTATTGATGTAGATTTTGGTACTAGGAAGGAGGGTGCTTATGTGGCAAATACCTAAACATGTGGAAATGGCTTTGGAGCTGGGTGGTGGGTATACGATGTAGAATTTTGAGGTGCATGGTAGAAAGGGCCTAGATTGCCTTTAAAAGATTGTTGGTAGAAATATGGACCATAAGCTGTGGGTGGTGTTACATGTCTGTAATCCCAGAGACTCAGGAGATTGAGGCAGAAGAAGCACAAGTTTGAGGCTAGCCTCAGCAATTCAGCAAGGATCTAAGTAACTTAGCAAGACCCTGTCTCAAAATAAAAAAAAATAAAAAAGGCTGAGGATGTAGCTTAGTGGTAAAGTGCCCTGTTTTAAATCTCATCCCCCCCAAAAAAGAAAATGGATTATAAAGATGATTCTGATAAAGGCTCAAAAAGACAAAGAGAGCTACAGAGAAAGCTTCTATTGTCTTAGAGAATGTATATGTTATCACAAACAAAATGTTGTTGGAACTATGAACATTAAAGTTACTTTTGGCCTGGGCATGGTGGTGCACACCTATAATCCCAGCTATTGTGGAGGTTGCAATATGAGCGTCATATGTTCTAGGCCAGCCTGGGAAACTCAGAGAGACCCTGTTTCAAAATAAAATTTAAGGACTGGGGTTGTAGCTCAGAAATACAGTGCTCGCCTAGCACATGCGAGGTGCTGGGTTTGATCCTCAGCACCACATAAAAATAAATAAATAAAATAAAGGTATTGGGTCTAATCAGAACTAATAAATAAATAAATAAATAAAATAAAACTTAAAAAAGAGCTGGGGATGTGGCTTAGTGGTAGAATGTGTGAGGCCCTGGGTTCAATCCCCAGCTCTAAAATTAAAAAAAAATGTGCTTTTGGTGAAGTCTCAGAGGGAAATAAGGAACATATCACTAAGCATTAGAGGAAAGGCCATCCTTCTCATAAAGTGGCAAAGAACTTGGCTGTTTTGTGGTCTAGTGTCCTGTGGAAAGGAGAACTTGGATATTTAGCTGAGGTGATTTCTAACAAAGTTGAAGGTGTGGCCTGGTTTCTCCTTGCTGCTTACCGTGAAGTGAGAGCAGAGAGAGAAATTGAGGAAAGAATTGTAAACCATGGAGGAACCAGAATATAAAGATTTGGGAAATCAGCCTAATCATATTGCAAAATGAGAAAGCATCCTCTAGAGAGAATACCAAGGGTATGTGTCTGGCCAAGCATTTGCTAAAGAGATGAGGTGGGTAGCCTGTGGGTACACTCCATCCTTTCAGAAATCCGGACTTGAAATGTGGTTTTCTAGGTAGGATCTGTGGAGAAATCTCATCTTATAACTTGGACCCTCACGAATTGTACAAGAGACCAAAAATGGTTTTGTTAGTATTTTATACCAGCAGAAATACTGACAGTCTGAACTGAAAGGGACAGGTGATTCTGAAGACAGACCTGGGGATGCAGAGGCCAGAGAGGGTACAGAACCAGACAGTGAGAACATGTCTTGTTCCAGCGGAGAGGGTCACCCCAGCAGGCCCAGAGAGTAGAGCATCAGACCATAGAGTATTCTTAGGCCTTGAAACCTTGCCTGCTGGGTTTAGGGTCTTCTTGGGATCAGTGATTCTTTTTTTTTTTTCTCAAAATTTATCCTTTTTGGAATAGGAATGTTTACTGTAAACCTGTCCCAGCACTGCTTTCTAGCAACAGGTAAGTTGTTTACTAGGTTCACAGCACAGCTGGCTGTGATAGCTAGTTTGGGGAGGGAGCGATGGAGAGCAGAAATGCTGGGGGACTAGGGGAAGCAGGGGTGTTACAAAGGCAGTTTGAGGGGCAGGAAGAGGGGAGAAGCTGAGAGGTAACTGGAACCTTACCTGCAGTCACAGAGCTTTCTGGGCCTGTGGGTACAGAGAATTGTTTCTGTTAGCATGGAGGCCTCCAAGAGCCTACAGCAGGGCAGTGAGGCTCAGGGGCCAGGGACTAAGCCAGGTTGCCCTGGGCATGCTCTCTGCTTATGCCTAAGTGATATTCATATGCAAAACTTAACACTATTTCTGCTCCAGAAAGAGGGTGAATTGGAATTATAAAGAATGGTCAGGTGATATATCACCAGTCACCTTCCCCATCTCAGAGCCCAGCAGACAGCCTGTAGGCATCAACCAGGGTGTCATTCCCAACTTTTAGTGGAAGCTTTCTCATCCCTTACTCTGACCTTACTAACTCCACTGGACACATGACTATAATTAGTGGGTGTTGCTTTCCTAGCTGAAGCTCCTGATTGGTAGGGGAAAGGATGCATTTGGTCCCAGGAGGAAGGCTGAGGGCAGCCAGAGGCACCCTGTGGGGGAGGGGGTGGAGAACCCAAGTTGCCTGCATCCCACCCTGGGCATCTGTCCCAAGACCAGGAGGCCACCCTGGGGACCTCTGCAGTGAAGCAAGGGAGGGTCCCACACTCACTGTTGAAGAGTTGCTGGATGCGAGGAAATCCACTGCCAGGCCCACCCAGGAGGATGCTGACTATGATCCAGGTAAGACCCACAGTGACAACTAGGGCCACAACGCGGAGCGGGCCTGGAGGCAGGACAGACACGGGGCAGGCCTACCTCAGATGCTGGTGACCTCTGGAACCATCCCATGACCCCTCATGATGAGATCTCCCCTTCTGCTTGGGAAGAAGTGACCAGAGGATGGGAAGGTGGGAACTGACCCCATCCAGCAGGCCCAAGAGGGAAACTCAAATTCCCTGGCAGGTGGACGGATGAAACTGACTTCAAACTTCCAGGCTTCCCTGGAAAGGTTTCCTTGGAAGGTTTGGAGGGGCTTTTCAGAATTCAAGGGTTCCAGAGGACTCCAAGGATTCTCTTCTAGGACCTCCCTCAGCTTTTTGCCTTTGAGACCACCAATGGATACCTTTGAGACAACCAAGGTGTCTGTGCCCCACCCATCTGCCACCCCTTTTCTTGTTCGTGTGTGTGTGTGTGTGTGTGTGTGTGTGTGTAAGGGAGAGATGCTAAAGATCAAACCCAGAAATTGTACATGCTAGGCCAGAGCTGTGCCACTGAGCCACATGTCTAGCCTCTTTCCTCCTATTCTGATGGAGGGTCCTTATGCCTTTTGAAGACCAGTCCCTTCACTCACTGCAAACTAGATCCTTGTTTCCCTTCCCTTCTCAGAGTTCTTGTAATAGGGATCTTTATCCTCACCCTCCCACATTTCAACATTGCTAATCTTAAGACTGAAAGAAGAAAAAGCTCTCCTTCAAAACCCCATCCTCATGCTATTTACCCTTGCCTTCCTTTTCTCCATCAAACTTTAGTTTTTTTTTTTTTTTTTTTAATGTGGTGCTGGGGATCACACTCAGTGCATCACATGTGATAGGCAAGTGCTGTACCACTGAGCCACAACCCCAGCCCTCCCCATCAAACTTTAAAAGTCAACTATAGGAGCTGGGGATGTAGCACAGTTGTTGATTGCTTACCTAACATGTGTGAGGCCCTAGGTTCAATCACAGTCCCCCCACCCAAAAGTCAACTACAGTCTGCCTTTCCATCATCTTACCTCCCACACTCTCCACAGCCTGCTCCAATTTGGCCTTGCACCATCCCAACCAAATATCTGGTAGCCAAGGCCACCCATAAATAACTGTCATGATGTCATGCCTCCAGTCATCCATTGGCTTTGATCTTCCTTGACCTGTTAGTGGACTACTCATGCCCTCCTGATGAAAACAATTCCCTGCTGGCTTCCAGGAAAGCAGTCTCCTGACCTATATGCTGCTTTTTCCCCTTGGTTAGATGGTCTTCCTCTACCTCCCCTTAAGCTGGACAGAAGGACTGAGTGGTAGACTGCTGGTGTAGAATGGATGAGGCCCTGATCCAGGTAAGACCCACAGTGACAACTAGGTCACTGAGAAAGGGGGAGGGTGGAGAAAACTGGACAGAGGCAGCCTTCTGTACCAGGCTGCCTTCTTATCTGTATCTGTATTTTTTTTTTTTTTTGGTGATTTTATCTACAGCCAGGTGTTGAATTAACTACATGTAATGATGACTTCTTGTTGTCTACCTCCAGCCCTGAGCTCTGTTGTATCTCTACTCTCCCAGTCCCTTCCTCACTATCCAGATCCAGTTGGTAAGTACATCAAGCTGTGACCTTAGCAGATCTGAACTCCAGTTCTTAGTTTCTACTTTCCATCTTATCCCAGCCTGTCCTTCCATAAGGCATCTTTATCTTAGTTGTGCAGCTGATACCAGAGCTGTCATTTGGGTTCATATCCAACCGTACAGGCAGCTTTGTCAGTTTTTGTTTAAGAGTAGACCTCTCCATGGGTACTCTGCACCCATCTGCACCCCGCTGCCATGCTCTCTGGAGCCTCTGTCACAACTCATTTTCCAAAAAGCAGTCGGCTTGTTATCTGAGTTGGGTGAAATTTATATTATCCTTTATCTCATAGTTTGGGAAGCTGAAGTCCTCAGAGGTGAGGATTTTTCTCAAGGTTACCGAATAAGTGTTTGTTCACAGTCCTCCATTTTCTCAACCAACCCCAATGGTTCACCCGGACCCTTCCTGACACTGATGTCGGGACACCTGGGCCTTCCTCCCGTTCGCCGTGGAAGCCACCCACCTGCCAACCTCATGTCCACTTCTCCCGCTGGGTTGGGACCGCCGGCAGGTGCACTGTTTGGGGACAGTGCGCTCTGGGGGAAACAAAGGAGAAGAGCAGGTTTGGGCAGGGGCCGGGGGCAAGTCTGTCCCGGGCCTCTGCTGGGGGGGCAACACAATCGGTGTTATGTTGTTTCTCAAACCAGTCCTGAACGTGTCCAGGAGGGGCGTCGGGAACCCGCTGGCAAACAGAAGCCTCCGGGACTGGGGCGCAGAAGGTGTCTCGGACTCAGGTCACTCCCGAGAGAAACTCGGGGCTAAGGCCATTCCTCCGGAGGCTGGGATGGCGACCGGGCTGGCCGGGGACTTGCCTGGCCGTGGGAAGACGTGGGCCCGGTCAGGGAATGCCCCGTTGGGCCGGTGCCCGGCTCTACCCAGGGAGGAGAAGAAGCTGCGCAGAGGAACCCGGCAGGCCTGGCAATGGCGGCCGGGGGAGGGGCCAGAGCTCGCAGGCACCGCCCGCCAGGGGCCGTGCCATGAGGGAGCCACAGCCCCGCGCAAGCTCCACCTCCAAAGCCGCCAAGTGGGAGGAACCGGTATCTACCCCGCCCCCTCTATGCTGACGCCACGTCCCGGGGTCTCCCTTCAGACCATCCTTGGGTGGGAGAAACGACCTTTCTGAGTTGGTGCGCTAGCGCTCCCCTCTGTTTGTTCCTTGAGGCTGTCAGTTATCCGAGGTCTGGGTGTGTTGACGACCTGGACATTAGAAATTGTCGTAACGTGCCACAGGTACCATATGGGGGAAAACAGAATCCGACAAGCCAGAACCAACCAGGGTAAGCCTTTGGATGCCTTTCCTTCCAGTCTGCATTCTGTCTAGAAGTGCGTTCCTTCTGCTTTACGTATCAGTCAGTTTGACAAGGGCATCTGAAAAGCTATTTCGACATATTTGAAAGCTCTTGCCTACTCCAGCCTGAACTCTCTGTCCTCAACTGTGCCCTGATCATTACCTCACTGGGAGGGCTGGGACTACTTTGTCAGCTGTTCCCATATGTCTGGAAAGCAGCAGCTGGGCAGAATCAAAACAATATCCCTAACCTTTGACCCGGTGGTCAAACTTACAGGACCTCCTTCCTTAGGAAATAATCCAAAATACAATTTATAGACTCAGGCATGACACTACTCTGGTTAGAATCCAGTAGATTCTAGTTTGACATACACAACACACTCTCATACACACTTCTCACAAACATGATCAAAGTGATCTATTTTAGCAGTCAGTCTTCTCTGATGGTCATGGATTTGTATTTGGGTTTTGTCACCAAATTTGGTGGCCTCTCATATTTCTCTGGTACCAAACATTGGGCCTTATGGTATCCTCAGTGGGGCCCAGTACAAGTAGCTGTCAGTTATGTACATCCCTGAACCAACAACAAGGCCCAAGGCACCTGCAGACCAGTAGTTCCTAGATAATAGTGTTTATACCTTGCCTGCAGCACACAAGGAAAAGTTGATTTAATGAGTCCTCTGAGGGTCCAGACACAACTCCCCCCTTCCCTAGGGACACCACACAACTGATATGCATTGAAGGACAGCCTGCAGGAGTCCCTTATTTTCTCTGGGACTTCTTTTTGGTGCTGGGGATTAAACCGAGGACCTATATAAGTTGCTAAGCATATACTCTACCACGGGACAGCAATCCAAACCCTAGGACTGTTTCCTGATGTGCATACAGAAGGAGGTTACACTTGAACCCCACAGCTCTTCACCCTATCCACCCTGCTTGCTGCTGACCATTGTGCTACATAGAACACATATGCCCTGTCCATATTCCAGCTTTTCCTGTTGGGACTCTTCAATCCCCATGAAGGTTGACAGACTGAGGGACACTGTCATTTATCATTCAAAGTCAGCATTTGGCTCAAGACAGTTCCAACAGTTCTCAAATAGCACACAACACAAAATGGGAGTGGGAAGGCTGTGACAGGTGTCTCTAGACCTGTTAGGTGTTCTTTTGACAATTTTATGCAGAAGAAAAAAAGTATGCAAACAATTGAATAAAGTTTTGGGGATACCTGCTTAGGAGAACATAAAATGGATATAAACTTAAAGAGAAAGGGCTGAAGCCTCCACCAAAGAGAGCAGAGACTGAGTCCTCAATAAACAGAATCTTTTTCAGTTGTTGGCCAATAGGATGTCAGCAATTCTGAGGCTTGGGAAGAGGAGAATGACATTGAGGGTACAATTAGAAAAAAGGAAGTTTGGACTGACACATACCATAGGATAATAAGTGTACAGAAACATAAAATACTATATATATTTGTATTGGAATTAAATATATATAATATAACATTTGACAATTTAAATATTCAATTATACTTTTTGTTGTTAGTGCTGGGGACCAAGCCTTGTGTATGCTAAGCATATGCTATATACCACTGGGCTATACCCCCATACCTTAGTTATTTTATTATTTATTTTTGGGTGCTGGGGATTGAACCCAGTGGTACTCTACCATTGAGATACATACCCACCTCTTTATGTTTTACTTTGAGATAGGGCCTCCCAGGCCTTGCCCAGACTGGCCTCCAATTTGTGAATTGCCTACCTCAGCCTCCCCAGTCACTGGGATTACAGGCATGCATCACTGTGGACAACTATAATGTCTTAATTCTTTAGTTTTTTCATTTTGAAGTAATTATACACTTATAGAAGTTGCAAAAACGGTGCTCTTGTAGCTCCACCTTTCCTCAGTGGTGATATATATAGCTGTAGTACAGTATCACAACCAGGAATAACACATTGGCACATTACTGTTGACTAGAAAATAGACTTTTTTTAATACTACTGAGGATTGAATCAAGAGCATTCTTCCACTAAACTACATCTCCAGCCTTTTTTTTTTAAAGTTATACATGTACACAATATCTTTATTTTGTTTATTTATTTATATGTGGTGCTGAGGATCAAACCCGGGGCCTCACACATGCGAGGCAAGTGCTCTACTGCTGAGCCACAACCCCAGCCATCCAGCCCTTTTATTTCTCCTCCTCCTCATCTTCATTTTTGGTACTACAGATTGACTGGGTCTTACTAAGTTGCCAGGGTCTTCCTCAGTTGCTGAGGCTGGCCTTGAACTTGTGATCCTCCTACCTCACTGTAGGAGGGATCATTGGTGTGCATCACCATGTCCACCTAATTATTATTACTTTGGGGTACTGGGATTGAACTCAGGGACACTTTACACTGAGCCAAATCCCCAGTCCGATCTTTTATGTTGAGATAGGATCTTTTTCTAAAAAAAATTTTTTTATATTTATTTATTTATTTTTTAAGTTATTGGCGGACACAACATCTTTGTTTGTATGTGGTGCTGAGGATTGAACCCGGGCCGCACGCATGCCAGGCGAGCGCGCTACCCCTTGAGCCACATCCCCAGCCCCTAAAAAATTTTTTTATAACTTTATTTTATTTGTTTTTTTAATGTGGTGCTCAGGATCAAACCCTGTGTGCCTCAGCTGTGCTAGGCAAGGGCTCTACCATTGAGCCCCAGCCCCAGCCCCAGGGATGGGGTCTTTGTAACATGCTGAGGCTGGCCTCGAGTTTGTAACCCTCCTGCTTCAGCCTCCCAAATTGCAGGAATTACAGCTGTGCACTACTGTACATAGCACAGTAGACTACTTGTCCAGCATGTGCAAAGGCACTGGGTTAAAGTCCCAGCCCTGCAAAAAACAAAAACATCGGAAACGGATTTAAGTCTGTGTTCTAAGCCTGGTGCACTGATGTACACCTGCAATCTCATTTGTTTGGGTAGCTGAAGCAGGAGAATCACAAGTTTGAGATCAACCTGCACAATTTAATGAGACCTTGTCTCAAAATTTAAAAATAAAAGGGGTGGGGATATAGCTCAGTGGAAAAGCACTCAATCTCCAGTGCTTTTCCACTGAGCTATATCCCCATCTCCAAAATAATAATAATAATAATAATAATAATAATAATAATAATAGTAGTAGTAGTAGTAGTAGTAGTAGTAGTAGTAGTAGTAGTAGTATTTGTAGGAATAATTTGAGGTCTAAGGAGGAAGGACCATTTCTCCCAAGATGGTTCACTTGCTTCTGCCAGGCCCCAGGGGTCCTGTTCATCTAAGACCCCCTTAAACCAAGTGAAAGGTTCAAGGTTCTCTGGACACCCCAGGCAGTTTGAGCCCTGGTTCTGTTGCAGTTCTGGGCTTAGTCTCACCCTGACAGTGTAGCCATTTGGGCCCTCAGGATTTGATATTTTTCATGATTCGGTTGCTGACCCCTTCACTTTATAAGGCTGTCAAGGAAAAGTTTATGGGCAAATGCCTTAGGGCAAAGGCAAGTGTGTGGGGGCGCTAATTTATATCAGTTTTCTCTGAACATTTGGCCTTGTAAATTCCTTCCTTATGGAAAGCCAGAATGTAGTTAGCTCCTTGTTTCTGCAAAGATTCCTTGAAGCATTGAAGTGAAGCAAAGGGTGAAGCTCTAGGAGGCAAGAGACCTGTACCAGGGCCTCCTCTCTGGTCCTGGGGTGTGGCCCTAGGATAGTCTGATCAAGTCTCAGAGCTTCAGTTTCTGAGTTTCTCCTTTTGTTGTATAAGAAAGATGATCTCTTCTGGATACTTGAACTTAGTGAACTTGGAGGATAAAGCCCCACCACATTCGTGCCTTTTTCTCTTTTCTTTCCTCCTGTCCTGCTTTAAAAAAAATTTTTTTAGATGTTGATGGACCTTTATTTTATGTATTTTTGTGTGGTGCTGAGGATTGAACCCAGTGCTCACACATGCTAGGCAAGCGCTTTACCACTGAGCTACAGCCCCAGCCCCATGCCCTGCCTTCTTTACTTTCTACTCTATGGGGGCAGGCAGGGGCATGTGCAGATCCTCTCCATCCCTGCCATCTGTGGCTCAGCCACTAGCAGTGGGCTAGGTTTAGATTAAGGGATGGAGTGAGTGGGAGTTTTCAGTGTTCTTTTGTCTTCTCATTTTGCCAGAGCTAGTACCCCAGCACGGCAGACTTCCCTTGGTGTGAGTGTGGGAAGTCAAGCTTCCTGTTCCTGGGACTCAGTCTGAAGGGGTCACGGTACCTTTGAAATTCTCATCCAGCTCAGTACTTTGCAAGTCTAGGCTAGGAAGTTGAAGTTACCTTGTCTGAGGTAGGAGTCTAGCACAAAGGCCTGTCTAGCTCCCACCCATGATGTTGAAGGACAGGAGAAAAAAAAAGGGAACATGTAAAAAAAAAAAAAGGTTAAAAAAAGCAACGAAACACCGGGCCAGGCCCTCTGAAGGTATGAGAAGCAGAGTGTTGACATTAAATAGAGAGAAGGGTGGAAAACCACCCTTTAATAGATCAAAGGAACACATCCTGCATATTTATTTCCATATTTATGCAAAAATTGCTCCATTGAAATGAAAAAAGTACATTTGGAGGTACTGGAGATGTAGATAAGTGGTAGAGTGTTTGCCTA